CAAGAAGTCTAATAAATATGGACGAATATTAGGGTGGATTGCTTTCGGTGGCTCACTCGGTATCTATCTATTGGCAGATGGATATTGCTATGGAAAGACACCTTGTTAGGGTAGGTTATTTTGGCAAAAAATATTTGTGTTTTGCAACATCCCTGGTATTTAATGTAAATTTCCTAAACTTTGTGAATTAAAGTTGGGCTTTTGTACAACGTGAATCAATCTCTTTCACTAACCTAGATGTAGAAAGTTGATGTTCCTTGTTGACATTCTTAACAAAACCCTCCAAACGAACATCCGTTTATTAAATGCAATACACCGACAAGAAATTATAGGAAATGAATTCGATTAGACGAGCCGGAAACGGGAAGTAAATATTTTTATACTTTTAAACTCGGAATTCCTGTAACTGCAAACTTCATAAAACCTTTAATAGCCAACAACTTTTAAGTATCTTCATAACTATTAATGTGGTCTAAGGAAAACGCATGGGACGGTCTTGCAGCCAGAAAAAAATCTGAAATAAGCTTTATACCATGGTTGATGAATTTAAAGATTTATTTTCACAGCGCTTAAAAATTAGTTATTGTTATTAGTTATTATTATTAGATATGCTGGTTTATTATACTCGATGGCCTTTTCTGTGATTTGTCTTGGTACAAATACGGCGTCTATGCAGGATCATCCGGATCTGAATCCTTGTTCATCTGATAAAGTTGTTAGTTTATAGATTTTGTTGTTTAGGGCCTTTGTAGAAAGCTTAAGTGCGATGTTCAGTAGATTTATACCTCTATAATTGTTGGGGTCTTCTTTATCTCCTTTCTTAAACATTGGTATCGTTATGTACTATATATTGGTAGCATGCGTCTGATATCTTGCAGTGCAATATTAGTTTTTGTCATCTCAAGGGTTATAGTTTCTCCTCCGTGTTTAAGAAGCTCGTTGGTTATTCCGTCTGGTCTGAGTGACTTTCTATTTTTGAGAAGTAAATTTACAAGTGTTGAATTGGCCAGCGCACAGCCCGGACTTAAATCGAATAGAACATGTTTGGGACCATCTTTACAAAAGAGTGAGATCTGGTAATAAGACGCCAGCTAATCTTCGGGAAATTTAACGGTTGTTAACAGTAGAATGAGATAATATAGATCAAGATTATCTAAGATGCCACAACGTTGTCTAGATGTTATAAGAGCTAGAGGAGACAATACGTCTTACTAAATTATAATTACTTTTGATTTTTTTTTATTCAATGCTGTTTGTGCGCTTACTTCTAATTTATGAAATAAATTAAATAAAACTTTGTTTTTCGTACATTCTGTATTTTTCTTTTAATACTTGTTACGTACTTAAAAAACAAAAAAAAAACACAGTAAAAAATCCATGTTTTAAATTATTTTTAATCAAAATTTGCAGTTTCATAGGTGATGCGATACTTTTTTGGCGGAGTGTATATAATAATTGATAACCTTTAATAGTAATCAAATTTTAATGAACGATCGATGATGAATAGAACAATAGCATATTTCTGGCAACAAGATAAAATTATTTAAACAGATAGATTTTATTTGTATTAATTGTAAATTGTTATTGTTATGAGAGTTTTAAATGGAAAGAAAATGTTCGAAGGAAAACTAAACTGGCAGCAGTCAGTCTATTTCGAGCAACAGCTTACTTGTTAGGAATTATTCGCGTGAAAAAGCGAGTCGCCTCATGCATTATTTATATACGTTTCGGCATGATATGATTGATCCGTTAACTTAACGACGTACCCAAGTGTGAAACCGAAAATTAACATTGTGTCGGCAGCTACTTTTATGCTACGATGTTGCTAGCGCCCTTCTTTCATTCGCGAGGCTTCGTCAGTAATTAAAACCTCCAACGGCCGAGCCACATGAAAGGGACTTGAGAGTATTAGACAACACAACTAAAAAAAAATTATATAGGGAATAAATTGCTGGAAGTAGTGCAGAAACAATAAATCATGCAAAATAGTTTGAAACTAGAAGCAATAGATATTGTAATCAAGTTATGCAATTAAGTATGCATTTTAATATCCAATGCATATTGCAGTTTCTCTACGATAGATAAAGATTAATAAAATATTAAGACTTTTTGTTGGTTTTGATTTTTCCCGTAGTATATTTAAACGATATAAACGTGTAGAGGGGCACAGCGGTTTTAAGGGCTAAACATTCCAAGACTAGCCATCTGCGAGATAAGAGCGAGTTCCATATACCATATGCTAGAGATGTGTTTTTTTTAAGTTAAAATCATAGTCGAGTTTTATCTCTCAAACCATACAGCTATGTATGCGTTTTAGGTTAGTAGTACCTGAGACACTCCGCATCGGTCCTGTGACCGGGACAGACGTCAAATACAGTTGGGGTGGAATATGCATTATCAACTTTGTGGTTCGTGTACGTCGGTGAAGACGTTTTTGCGATAGCGGTGATGCTATCAATTCATTAGGTAAGGTACAATACACCATTTAACTTGTTGCTGCATATATCAAGTACGTGTACTGATATATTTATTTCATATGTGTTTGGATAATTATCTCAGTTGTGCCGCGATCGCGTGTTGAACATTTTAACCGTTTGAGAACATTTTACGTTTGGTTAAACGTTATTACCTTTATCGTAGATTTGTATATTTATTAGATTGTAATAATTTCACATCTTTTTTTGTATGTATATCACAGCTTTTACGTGATGAGTTTACTCATTTTATTAATTTCATTATTAATTTAAGGTGCATTTCATTACCGATTATACTTTTGAATTGAGTTTATTAATATTTGTATTACATTTTGTGTAACTTTTATCAACAAGGTTTGTTCATTTTACCTTGGATTAAGTATATTATTATATCTGCGCATATTTTTCACTCGTTAACGTCTAATATCAATTTATGCATTATTTCTAATCATACTCAACCATAGCAATCGAAATCTTAAATTCCTTTGTTGTTAATGTGTTTTTAAAACCTATTCATCAACATTTTTGTTTTGTTTTGTTTATGGTTGTTTTGGTGCTGTTTCATAGTAACTAATATTTAAGTTTATAATATTTAAGTTTGTATAAACTCTTGTTTATTTATAATTGTGTGTTTGGTTATGTATATTTATGTTTGCTTTTACTTCTTTTTAAAATAGAGTTTTATATAGTCCGCTGGCTTTCATTTCTTTTTTTATTTTAATATACATACAATGCCAAAGGGAGAAACCAGCGAGTTTAAGATTGAACATAATACATGCTCTCTCCCTTCAGGATGACCCCAATTGTTATATTAAGGTCATCGTATGTTGAAAACGCAACAATGCATACTTAATCTAATAATATAAAAGAATCTACATTTTATAATCTACAGAAGTTACAATTTTTTTTTTCATGTCCGACTAATTTTGTGTAAACTTTATATATCTAGCAGATCCGACTTCCCTTTAATAAATGTACTTGTCTTTGATAAAGTTTGTAATAAATTCGACCAAAATTGTTTCGATCTTTAGTAGGTCTAAAGTACTCAGAATCTGATTTTTCCAGTTTTTACTTTTAATTTTTAGAATACCCTATATAACTGACTTCTTTCTGGTGAAATATGCTATTTACCTTTATTTGTGTGTTAACACTCAATTATGTTTATTAGTGTTTCATCTAAAACTTCTACCCTTAACATGAGGTAAGCCGCAAGATTCCAAATTATCTTCATAAATATTTAAAAAGTTTTTATCTTTGATTAGTTTTCTTACTTAAACTGTTAGATATTAGGTACTTTTTAGTAGATTAAATATTTATGTAACGATCGCAATTAACGTCGAAATATAACTCCTTACCTCGTGATCGCAAAATAGTTAATAAAAACAGAAAAATGTAATCAAAAAATGTAATTAAATGTATTTAACGCCATTAGTAAAAAAGCTTCAGAAGCAATACGTATGAGTTAGAGAATAACGTTTCTGATGGGTCACTCAAAAAGAACAAAGTGCACAGACGGAAGACGATTTATTGTTAAATTTAAATCTAAGATGCATCATCCATAATTATTCGTGGATGCTACACCAATTTCGTTAAGAATTGGCAATTACCTGGATTTATAGTAAAGGATTATTACGCTCCGGGACTTAACATGGTCGTTAGTCATCCCACTCCTGATGGTCTAATTTGTATGACAAGTACTAGTGATTAATACCATCGTCTCGAAGTCACTGACATCGTGATTTGTTTAATGCACATCTAAGCGAGATTAATGCGGCGGGTCGTCAAGAGTACGTGGCGCGGTCGGTAGGATTCGAAAAATTTCCAAAGGCCATCGCAATAACTTACACGAGATGGAATAATAACTGCTAGAAAGCGATGCGAGGATCCATCATGCATGCAAATTTCGGTTTCGCCGAGATTTATGTTAAATTTTAGAGAGAGGGTTCCGCGACATTCAATCGGGCGGTTGTATCTAGTGGAACGGCGCTATAGTGTGTCGACAAATCGTGACTAATATACCGCTGGTATCTATTTATAGAAATGGGGTGACTTTTTCGAATTACAATAAGAAACTATACGATGCGGTTTTATGGTATATGTAAACAATATATTATTCAGTTCAATTAAATTAAATGTCAAACGAATTTTAAAAAATAAGGTTATAATTATTTAAATACATTAAGCTGGCATAGTTGACTGAATGCAAGATGTATATAACGGAATTGGCTGCAAAAAACGTATGTAAGTCAATTTTTAATGATAGTAATAGTTTCTTTTGTACTGCCGTGAAAAGCATGTTACCATAATCTTTTATGTTGAAATACCTTTTATTTTTTATGTATTAGTTTGTAGTAATATATTTTTATAATTTTAATATTTGGAATAACATGTTTATGTATTTAAGTTTAATTATTGAACGGAATTTTAAGTTCGTGTAGATTTTTTAATCTACCGTCGATTTATTGCTATAAATTTAGTTTAGTTTATCAGACATAACACTAGATTTTATTAAAAAATACAACTTACCTGAAATTTCTTTGTTAATGCACCCAGGACGGTGTCGTTACCGTAGTCGAGTATGTAGGTGGCGCACTAGGCTGACTATTCGTTATTCCCGTATGTGGTTCGTTCTGTGCAGACACGGTAGCTGGTACCGCATGTTGTTGGTTAGGGAAATTAAAGTCCAAACTACCCTCCATGTTCAGTTCGTGGTTGATTAATTCTTCGACGTTGCAGTCAAAGCCACCCTGCAACGACTCAACGTTGATATTTAGGTCATCCAAGATGGCGCTGTTGTTGAGCGCTGCCATCATCTGGCCCATCATCGTCGAGGGGATGTTTTGTTGCTGTGCTGGTTGCGGAGTTAGAGGAGGACTACTCGAAGGAGGTCGTTGCATTCTGTTAATTAGATATTGAGAGCTAAGGGGGTCCGGCGAGGGTTCTGAGTGGGGGTACGAGGGGGACATGCCTGCAGGTGACATACTCTGTAATAAGAAATATTTCATTTAGTCGAACAACGATAATGACTACTCGGTAATGAAGTCGATTTTCTATAACTTGACCTGTCTTCGTATTGCTACCCTGTATTTATTTGTGTTTTCTAGTTCTTCTTTTATCTTGGTTTATATTTCCTGTTTAATTTATTTAAACATTAAAAATATAATTTCCTTTAAATGTTGGCTTACCTCTACTTTAATTGGTTGCATACAAGAACACGATTGGATACGGTGGATTGGGCATTGCGTTAATCCGTAAGGAGAGGTGGCGTGTATGGCGCCTCCTAGGTCCCTACATCCAGGAAATTGTTCGTAAGGAGCTGTATATGGCGGTGGAGGGGGCTGTGCTGGTTGCCCATTCATATACCTACAATAAATATAGGAAAACGATTATTTTTTAACTTATTTTTAACAATAACAGTTTGACTGCTAGTGATAGCATAAGATTAATACTGTTTATTGTTTTTGTTAATATTTTATTGTAGTATAGTCAGAATATAATACTTTTATATCGAAAAATATGATAAAACTGATAGGTACTTTTTTATTACTGTTTTATATACATATGTTTCAGTAGAGCAAGTTTTGGTCATAATCTGATTTAATATTGAAGTGTATTATGTTTATTATAACAACAATTCGTTAATCAAAAACAAAATAACAAGCAGTATAAGTCTAAGTAATACTTACGTTTGATACCATGCTACACCAAAATAACCTACCCTAATACTCGTACAAATAATAAATGTTACATAACAGAATTTGTCATAAACATACAATAAGGTGTCTAGAGGTTAAAAGGGGTGCTGCAAAAATAAAGCAGATGTAGAATTAAGTCTTTAAGGTATTCAGAATTATTTTATGTCATGATTGTAACACTTATTTTTTTTATATATGATCGATAATGAAAAAATATTGAATGTATTAAATACTAAATCAAAATTTATATAATTACTTTTTTAAGTAAAAAAAATGAAGTAGGCAATATAAAAAAATGGTTAGAAATGCGATATTAATTATTGACTGATTAGTTTTGGATAAGTGTGGTGCAAACAGAAACAAAGTCTAAACTGATGAACCATTCCGTATAAAGGGAAAATAATAATGTCCATAAACCCTCCTAGTAAAAGAAAACTGCATTTATTGGCAAAATTTTCGTCATTTTAACGTAAATTAACTTTAATTATTTTTCAAATTACTTCCTTTTAATTTACTTATCTTATCTACGTTTTTTATCGGCAAATAAGCCAAAAAATTTTTTGCTCTTTTTAGTGTTTTTGTAATCTTAAGTCTGATTTATAAACTTTTCGTTGGCGTTGGCGCTGGCGTTCGCCGTTGACCTTGGCGCTGGCTATCATAGAGTGCGTTGTATCTACGTTGTCTTTTATTTCGAAGTCTCAGTGCTGCTCGAATACAAAGTATCGTATATAAGTGCACGTAACAAAGGCCGAGAATTTTCATTTTCCATTGTATTAATTTTCAAGCAACTAATTAATAAAATTAATAATACCAAATCAAAAATGTAAGGTTAAAAATATAGATATGATCATTAATGCCAACGCCAACCGAAAGTTTATTAATGCAGTATATCGGTTATATGGCTATAACCACCCTCCAGCGGTGGGTGGTTATAGCCAGCCGATTATAGCGAGCGCCAAGGTCAACGGTGAACGCCAGCAAAGCCAACTTATACTTTATAAAACAGCCTTTATGGTTACTTGGTAAAACCATTAAAAAAAAATAAATTGATATTTTCATTTATTAAGGCTGTTTTATCGGTACACCAAAACCTAGATACAGTGTTTTCTCTGTTATTTACCGACAAAATATCTCGAAATTTGGACACGTTATTCAAAATTATGTTGCCTTTAAACTGATGGTTTTACTTTTTTTATTTTTTTGAAAGTTCTTTTGAAATATCGGATTATACAGTTTAACGTTCTATTATAACCAAACTTTTTACACCCATCACTTGAAGGAGTTTTTTTCTGTAATCGGTTTTTTTTTTTCACCTTTTTATGTCCAGTAATAATCGAGAAAAGCGTGTTCAAACTTTGAAGAAAATTGCTAAAAAATACTGAAATCTAATAGTGAAACGTGTTACTCATCATTGGCATTTAGTTTCACCGTTATCGGCTGCGTGACGTCAAATCTCATGAACGTACGGTCAGATAGTTTGATTTGAAATCGATTTCAAGCTTTAACTGCGAAATTGTTTATTTGTTTGTGACAACAAATTAAATATTTTTTTGATAATAATATTTTTATGTTATTTTAAATTTATTATAAATAAACACCATGATGTTTTTTGCAGTCACGTTTCACAAATTTATATTCAATACTATATTTAGCTAAGACATATAAATTTAAAATGTGATAATTATTTTTAAAACATCTACGATAATCAAACAAAAAAGGTATTCCCGACAAAAGTAATTTGAATGGAGAATAATGCATTTGTTGTCATTAAACCACACGCCGGCCGGCGCCACTGCGAAAACTACGTCGGCTGGCGTAAGCAGTGAGGAAAAGTAAGTGATACGCCCATTTCAAATCGCAGTGTGTTTTGACTGCTAAAACAGCCTTAATGCATTTACTAATTAATTTAAATCCGATTACATTTTTTAGTCACATTTTAAATTTATTTTTCAGTTTAATAATTATTAATCAAACAAATTTAATATTAAAATAAACCAAAAATTATCAATAAATATTTATTATTGACATTAAAACATAAAGAAAGCGTTTTCAATTCACAGTTAGTACAATACACCAACTGTATACAAGCAGTGTTGTCTTTACTGCTTAAAACACAAAATGAAAGCTTCCAAATGTGAGCATATTTTTATTTTATACGCGATCCCTATGCGTAATGTCTGGATACCTTTGTTACATTTGTTTAAGTCAAGACTGTTAGACTGCTTGTATGCACACGTTTTACTCGCCTGTCGCAGCGACTCGAAATTGTCTAATATGTGCCCTTTTATGCATCAACGATCTCAAATTCTATAGCCTGGAATTAGAGAACCCATCGCGACAGGCATTTTATACGCGTTTATGGTCGCTGATGCTTTAATAGGAACTTATTTTGTAAGCCTGCTGATGTGTATTGATGTGTGAAAATCTGAGTTATTGCAATGGAGTACCTCGATGGTGAACTATTTCTCGATATAATAGGAATTTATCATCAGATAATTACAAAAGAGTATTCTTGCATTATGTATTGGGTGAAAAATTGAATGGTGGGGCGCAACAATGTTGTAAGCGACAGATTAGGTCAAAATGAGGTTTTAATGCAATATTGTTGTATATCCAAGGACCAATGCGAGCATCTTTTAATCTGGCAAAAAACATTTTGCCTTTCCTCAGTTTTTAGTACCGCAACAGAGTTGGTATTTGTGCAAAAACGTTTAATGTACGTTACTATCAAACTACTATCACTGAAAAATGGAGGTTAATATTAACCAATGGAAGAGAAACATCCGCAAGCGTCAGAGAAATGTTGTTGAAGCATATGTATCTGCTAGAAACGGGAATGTACCAGCAGTACCCCATCCACATGAGGTGAGTGCAACAATGTTGTATGTTTTGTTAGAAAATGCATTTTTTGTAGCCTTATCATTGTCGTTAGCTTTGTTATGATCTGTGCTCGTCCGTAGTGAGTGTATGATTTGAAATTCGGCATCTTTCGATAATTTCGATAACTTCAAATAAGTATTTTTATATGTAAGTGCCAATATGTTTGCGAGGCTGTTAAAATTCAAGAGCAGTTTGGAGATATCTTCACAATATTTCATAGGCTGGATTCTTCTTCTTCTTTTTGTGCCACTCCTATCGGAAATTGGAAATCATCAAGGCTATTCTGACCTTGTTTACGGCTGACCTAAAGAGTTCATTAGTGGTGCAGCCAAACCACTCTCTCAAATTCCGCAACCATGACATTCTTCTACGGCCTGGATTCCGTTTTCCTTTTATTTTTCCCTGCATTATATTTTGAAGTAATGCGTATTTATGTCCTCTCATCAGGTGACCAAAATATTCGAGTTTTCTTCGCTTTAGCGTTAACAAAATCTCTGGGTCTTTTCCTATTCTTCGTATTACTTCACAGTCGGTTATTCTTTCAACCCAACTAATCTTCAGCATTCCACGGTAGCACCACATCTCGAAACTTTTAATATTTTTCATGTTATTCTGTTTGAGAGTCCAGGCCTCTACACCGTATAGGCTGGATAATAATGCATAAACTGCACACCTGGCCAGTTGTATGGAACTTCAAGAGCCACACCATAGACATAGACGGACTCAAGAAGACATCTCCAGACGACAATGTACTGTACGATACCATATACAGATTGGACTGAAGAAATTACCAGTGTGCCAAAAAACTATGCAAAACATGTGGAATAACACCTCTAAGAATCCAAAACATTTATCAGAAGATAAAATCAGATATGCCGCTACGTGATTAACGAGGAAAACACAATAATAGGCCTAAAAAAATCAACGAAACCGACAAAGAACTTATAAAAGAACACATAAAGTCGTCTCCACATCAAGAAAACCGTTATAGTCGCGCTGCATCAACGAAGAACTGCCTTTCTGTTGAATTAAACTTGAAAAAAATGTATAAACTGTTTTGTGAAAAGTATCCGCAATGCAATGTTTCCCGGCGCACTTACCCTGACATATTTCAATCAAACTTTCATCTGCGCTTTAGTATCCCTCGCTCAGATAAGTGTAAGTTTTGTGATAAAATGTATATCAAGCTTGTGGTTACTCCAGACGGTCCAGAAAGAAATTCTATTCTTTTTGACAGTGAACTCCACGATGCACGTGCTGAGGCTGGATACAAAGCATAGAAGTTGGATGCTAAAAAGGCTAATCCACAACTCGTCGTACTCTTCACTGATCTTCAGCAAGTGTTGTACTGTCCAACATTGACTCATTTTTCAGTGTTCTACCAACGTTAGTATTCCACTTACAACTGTGATATTCACGATGTAGGTTCAAACGATGACACTATGATGTTGTGGCATGAATCTTTTGGTTATCGTGGTTCTAAAGATATCGCTTCAGCTTTCCTGTGTTACATAAAACTTAACTTTCGTCCATTGAACTCAGGAGAAATAAAAAAACTCATAGTCTGGTCCGACCCTTGCGTCGGCCAGAATAATAACTGTAGAATGCTGTCCATGTTCCGTTTGCTGATTGTAAATATATATTTCACTCAAGTAGAACAAAAGTTCTTAACTAGCGGTTATAGCTTCTCACCTTGCAACCGTGACCTCGCTCATAAAGAGAAAGAAAAAAGAGCAGTGGTGAATGTACCCTTCGTTGGCAGTGATTGCCAACTCACGTCCCAGCAAGCCCTTCAATGTATACTACATGGAGCAAAAAGACTTCAAAGACTTTTGATATAATATAGTACAAAATTACTCTAAGATGAGCTTTCAAATAGGAAGCGAATAGGAGTTGAATAAATCACGTTGAGCTATGACCAGTTTTGCAGTTTAATTGTGATTAACTCACTAGTATTCCCACAAGACTTCTGAGAATTAAAATTATTCAAAAATCTGATTTATGGCATATAAATTTTTTTTATTCAGGTGACCTACGGATTACAGTAGGTAGGAAACCGTATGTAGGCCTAATTAGCTCATACGTAAGTGAACCTTCCTGTGGTGCCGAATGACGTGTATTCAATTCCCACAACAAATAGACAACCAAAAAATATTTTAAGATTTGTTTGGCAATATTTGCCAAACCACGAAGTATTGATATATCTAGAACACCGCCATTTGGTTGAGAAATGAATGTAAAACAATCCCATATATTTGTGTACACTTAACCCACTACATAAACTTCTTTTCCATCTCCGCGACGAAGATCGGCAATCAGTATAGGTATTCGGTCTTTAGTTTTTAGAAAGCCTGATCTGGCTGTCCTTTAAAATATAAGAAAATTATCTGTTTTTCTTTCAACTTACCTCGTACTTAACTGTTTTAATAATAAAAAATTTAACCTTTTAGGAAAACTTGACCAATGTCAAAAGTTTTGCCTGGGAACAAAATAATGTTTGGTTTTTCTTTAGGATATACTGGACGCTGAAATGAGAATTAGTTTAATTTATAATTAGCTGTTAATACCAACAGGAGAGCTTTTAAAAAAATGAGGTAATTCTTAAAAATTCTCATAAATTTGTGCAAATAATTTATATAATAAACTAGCATTAATTTTTCTTTATTTCAGTATATGACAATGATGTAATAAGAGATAATTCTAAAATAATTGGTTAAAACCAAATTTCTGAATTTTTTATAAACCTCCTTCACCAATTAAATATATATACAATTATTGTTGGACGGTACATCAATACAAAACAATTTTTAAAATCTGCAGTTTCTTTTTGCAAGGAGAATTTGTAAACATATTTAAAAAAAAACCTGGTTTGGTCGGCTTAAACCCCATATAAATATAAAAAAAGCATGACAGTACTGTACAGAAAATTATACTAAAAATAGTAAATCACTTTTATTATTTGCAAAAGTTTTAAAGTGCACATAGATAGCAAAGTTCTTCCGAACGGTGAACAGCGTTCTTTCCTAGACAATTTATTGATACTTACATATACATTCATCGTCCTACTACCACTAGTATTTTTACTGTTACACGTATTTTAGCATGACCAGATTGGTTCATACTCAAGACTTTTAAGTGTATCAAAAGTTGATCTGTTAGCCTCCAAGAGCACATACAATACCTGAGTGAAAATAATAATACCATCTGCTTAATTGAGGAGCACAGATCAAGCAATAGCACCAAGTGAAATTTAATAACAAAGCACAAAGCAAAAGGACAGCACAAGCTTAATTTCCAATATATTGAGATTCTAATTTAAATATTTTTAAAATATCTCTTTATTTTATTTCAAACAAACTTATCAAACAAATGTTTCATCCAAAACCGGAGCGTGCTTTTTACACAGCAAGTAATTTCTGGTTGATGTTTAAAATGTTACTGTTTAGTACATGGTTTAGAAACAAACTATTGTTAGTGTCTTGTTAAGTCTCAGCCAAATGCAGCTGCAATATATGACAAATATGCTGCTTTTTCCAATGTATGACAAAAAGATGAAAGGTCCTTTAGCTCGTCTTTATCCTAACAATGCTGTGCAAGTTTGTACAGTTTATTTACACACACAAAATTGCTAAAAAATAGGTAAATAATGTTAGATTTGAATTCGTTGCCTCTCAGTACTTCGATTTAATAAAGAACTTTGTTTTACTGTTGTCAGAACCATTCTAAACTAGTACGAAGTATATACACCATATATTTTTTTATCATAAAGAGTATAGCCCTCGAAGCCACCGGTATCTCCATATTATTTCTCTAACAGTATTAATCCCATACTTTTTCATCAATGTTAAAAAAGTAAGCTTATTCGGGTTTATCAAATGGTTTATACATCAATGAATATATATTCATTGTTTATACATCAATAAATTCTTTTAGAAAATTTCATTCGAAAGAGGGGATTCCATTCGTTTTTTAATGGGATCTCTGTTTTTGTTAACAAACCAGTAAAACTTTAAAGATCTCTTCACGTATTTAAAAAGGGGGTGTAATAAAATTGTTTGTATTAGAAAAACTATTATTAAGAACAAAATATTTTGAGATATTTTAAAAATTTAAAAATTTAAACTCAGACACATGTATCCCACAGTATCCACAAAATCTCACCCCAAATATGTGTCTGGTTCGAGCTTCATCCCCTGCTGGAGGTTTCCCGCCAATTGATCTGGCGAATAATTACCGCTGGGTACAATATCTGGACTATAGGTTTGGCTGTTAAATTGATTGTGCGTGGCCCATTCGGATTCGGCTCCTACAGAAGGGATGGGGGACAGGCGCCCGCACGAAGAAGTGTTCGAAGAGGCTCTTGGTCTAAAATCTGGGCTCAATTGGAAACCGCCGCTGGAGAAAACAAATTGAAATTTTTCAGTTTACCCTCGCGGATGGTGATCGGGTGTAAGTAATGATCTTAAATTTCGAGATGATCCTTTATTTTATCCATAAGACTAATAGTGATTTGACATATGTATATGAATTTAATTTTTATTATTAACCCAATTCTTATCTGTAATAGTAATTTTATGTATAACCTCTTTTAAACGGGGCTATGCTTTTAAAATGCACAAATTGATTTATTTTTATAAATTTATGTCAAAACAAATTTTATATGGTTTGTGTTGACTACTAACCAGAGAAATGACATCTTATCCATCTCTTCCATCTCTTCATACCTACATATATGTTTCGTTTTGACACTTCTCACGGTTTCAGGATCTAAGAAAGCCTACTAAAAGTTGTTTTCCTTTTAATATCTTAAATACTGCTCAAAAGCTTTGCGAATAATGCAGCAGTAAATAGAAGTATCTATTTTTAATCATCTCTTGTGCATTATTAAGAAGAAGCTGATAATTCCGTGCCTCTATAATTAAGATATTGGGTCAAAAACAAATTTTGATACTATACTCTTCTATACGTGTCTATTATTATCCTAATTATGTATGTTTCAATTCACTCTTGTCTTAAAAATGAAATAAAGTGTTTGATATGAAAAACTAATATGCAATACTATCGTTTTTTTTATTTGAAGACAGCGAACAAATTTTAAAAATGAGTGCATTATATAGTAGTTTCAATGTGTTGCAGTATATGTTGCAAAAAAATAGCATTTTGGTTTACTAATGTCAGAAATAATTGGTTATACTTTCCATATTTATATTTATAATAAAGAATAATTCTGTTCTCATAAACTTTTAAAATTAGAGTGAGTTAAATATATCTACATATGTGTAAACTTTTTCACGAGATTATTGCGTAAAATCAATTATTGTCAAAGTTGTGATGTTTGATGAAACAGTTAAGTTCTTCTAATCTTAATTTCCTTCCTTTTGGTTTATCATATCTTTTAATATACCACAACTAGTTTTGATAAAATCCTTTATGTGCTCAAACAATTTAAAAGACGTTTCAAGTTGTATAATTATTCTTCTCACAGTGCCTATCCGTTTACAATGTTGATGATATTTTAATTTCTAATGTGTTGTGAGCTACACGAAATGTTTAACCATACACAAATATCTTGCAGGTAGCATTAGTCCAAGATTTTGACTCTATGCAAAAGCACTGGTAAAACATATAGCATTTCAACAGTTTAATATTGTATTTATAACTTCATAGAAGCATTTAAACATTTCCACTTTTAAATTTTTAGTTAATTTTGATTTCTTTAATTCCATCTTCTGCATTAAATTTCCATAGCATAATCTCAATATTCGTTGATTATTCATCCAAGATACGAGTATGTGTTTACTGTTTCAAGGCGTTGACCGGTTATATAATATGTATCTGTTCATTTTGGTTTCCGTTTTTATAGAATTTGTATCAGCAGTAGTATATCTTATGCTGTTTTCTACTTTTCTAAATATATATTAAACAATAGACGTCCTTGTCTTACCCCTCTCTGGATCTTGATGTCGTCTGATTATTTTCCATTGATACTTCTAAATACTGTTCGCTTGTATAAACTAAGTTCGTCTTGTTTAACACTATCACATGCTTTCTGATAGTCAATAAAACATACATTAATGCACCTGTTCATGTCTCTTCTTCTAAATGTGCCTATCTTCTAGAGATGTTGGCGACCACATTGACCCATCTTATTCTATTCACAGCAGTTCGAAATAAATCTGTTGACGTTAGACCATTCCACATCCTAAGTTTGACCAGCCAGGATATACGTCTATATCCAGGGCCTCCTCTCTTACCCTCAATCTTGCTTTGAAGGCTCAACTATAGAAGTCGGTATTTATTATCATACATGAGTAAGCCAATTTTCTGTTCTTTACGGTGTTAATAATTTCTTTGCCTTTTCTTAGCCTCTGGAGTCTCTTACTTGGGTGGTGTATACATGAAACCCTCAACATGCGTTGGTAGCACCACATTTCAAATATCTCTAATCGTTTTATGGCATCTTCTGTAAGGCTGCCGCTTTCTACTCCATAGAGGACACTAAACAGGTAACATCTAAGAATTCGTATGCGTGTTTTGATACCTAAAGATAAATTGCAGAAAATCTTCCTAAGGCTGTTGAAAGAGCTTTTGGCTTTTTCAATACGAGTTTTTATTTCGTAGCTGTGATCTCAAGTTTCCTTAATATTACAGCCCAAATAGCATATTTTTTCTTCTCCTTCTAACGGTGTCTCGCATTGTAATTTGGGCGTTTATGTTGGTGTTCTTACTAATGATCATTATTTTTGTCTTCTTGCAATTTAGTCTTAGGCCGTATTTGTTACATGTTTCTACAACGTTGTCCATCATTCTTTGGAGCCCCTGCGCACTATCTGCTAGGAATACTGCATCGTCTGCATATCCAATATTGTTTATAAGTTTGCAATTTACAGCAACCCCATCTTCTGATTCGTAAAAGGCCTCACTAAAGATGTTTTCAGAGTATATGTTATATAATGCCACTGACAATATGTACCCTTTTTCGACTGTGAAGATCTCGGACAGTTCATTTTCTAATCGCACTGTTGCTTTTTGTTGCAGATATAAGTTTGAGATCAGTGTTATATCCTTGCCATTCTTACCATTCATGTCTCTACAGCTTTGAAATAGCACCTCTAAAAGGTTTTTTTTGTAACCACTTAATTATGAAATACGAACTGTAGGCGATTTGAATGTTCCATGCGGAATCCATATATTTAAATTCAAATTTTATTAAATGATTACTTAGTCTAACTACGCGAGAGTCGTCACATGATTTAGAATTTGGTTACCTAGGCAATGTTACTAATGTAGATTTTTACTTGACTGGCACATTTCCGCTAGCAAAAATTTTAATATGATTCTGAAACTACTTTCTTGTAGCATTTCTATAATATCGGCCTTAATTGATTGGACTAAACCACAATATTACTTCAAAATACGTTTATTTTGACCTCATTCAATAATTTTTGAGGGTTTTCGATTTCCCAGTTCTAGGACTTTGCTTTCCGTAATTAGCTGTATTGCCTTCTCAATCGCATAGTTTACGTTCTTAGAAAAATTATTATGTTTCTTAGATTGACTGGTTGTTCGTATCTACTGTCGTCAAAAAGGTGCTCTATGTACATCTTCCGTGTGTTGATCTCTTTCATTGTATGTGTGATGTTTTCACTTTTATCATGCAGTCTTCTGAACTATTTAATCTTATAAGTAGCTTATTCTTATAAGAAGTTAAGTTTCTATGCATTGCACCTTGAGCCGTGCTTTGATCATTTGATTTTTTTTTATAATTTTTTCTCTTTTTTATTACTAATATCATTACATACATTATTGATGGTGTCAAGTAGTTTTTCTCGAATAATGGTTTTCCCTGTCTTTGTAGCTGTTCTTCTTTCTTGTCCGTGACCACACATTGTTTTTTATCTTCTTTTAAATTTTCTTAAATTTAACTAGAAATCTTCTTACTTATGGTATATGATCTAATAATACAGTGTGTGGCGCTGACAAGTTTGGATTAAAAATATTGGCAGATACAGTTATGTTGAATATATGAAATTACGAAGCTGTAAGTTTTGAAGTTAATGTTGGACTGAAGGTGGCACTTCCGGTTGTACCGAAAGTAGAAGTCAACTTGGTTATTCTAAATGTAACATGATAGTTTTATTTTATTATTAAATTCTACATGACATTTCATGTAAAATTTGTGCATAATTTCCTATACCAAAAATGAAGTATTTTCGAGATAATTTGATTTTTTTTTTCAATATTTTAAATAATTCTAGTCCACATTGAATAACGATACCTTCATTTACAACGAGGTAGTGACGTGAAATTACATACAATTATCCGCTGTGTGTTTTAAAGCCAATTCGTTTGGTATCGATAGTTAATCGTCACTTAATTTCTTTCGTCCATAAATTTTCCGATTTTAGTTCCGCTCTTCTCCCATATCCGATTCCCAGAACATAGGCCCCAATTAGTTGCCTGCTTCTTAATTTTGACCATTAGCAGAGTCATTTAACCTCTGTTTAAGAGTCAACATTATGGCTCTGCAACATTGTTTGCTTATGTTTTAATACTTCTGTTATCGTAAAGATCAGCAAAAAGAGCATGATCTAATAAAAATATAATCTAGTAGAATGTAATGTTTAAGATAAATGTTATTTATTCTGTAGCTAGGCAACATAATATCATAATATTCATACTTACAACATTCTTCACACGGGCTTCATACCAGTTTTTATGTCATACTAGTTTATTATTGTGTTTTACTGCTGAGTTACCAACTACGTGCTAGTGTACTTTATGCTCGCGCGGGCATAAAGTGTACTTTATGGCCCATACGGGCGTAAAGATACAAACTAAAAGATAACTTATTAGAAACATCTTTATTTAACACCATTTCAAAACATGATTTAGAATTCATATAAAACTGGAAAATCTAAAAGGATCCGGTGATATTTAGATTACCCGCGGCAAACGTTGACTCATGTTTTATAGCTTGGGTTTTAAGTTTCTGTAAGGAAGCGCCGGACCTAGAAGGAATGCTTGCTAGCATTCTTGAAAACCACATTCTTTGAAAATATGCTGTACTCTAAATATCTTTCAGTAACCAACGTACTGTTCCATCCACCATGGCAATTCAACGTGGTCATACTGGCTCCACCTTCTGCCAGAAAAGTTGCCGAAGTCCGACGAGGGCAATGACATGTGTGTGTTTTTCCAAATGTGTTCTTTCCAACTGGTTGTACAGTACAACGACCTTGTCTGTAAGCCAAAAAAGCCTTTTTTTTTAAAGAACCACAATCGTAAAGACATGCAATCCGGTACAAACTTCAAACTCTTCAGTTCATCTTCGTCTATAATTGTAAAAACACGCTGTTTATCGGTTTTTGTCGCTGGTACGTTTACGACGAAAA